TTCTGCCCAACCAGACTTTATGGATCAATGTCCCTAAGGGCTCGATCCTCCATATCGATGATTTAGCATTGTATCATCTTACCGACGACGAGTATCAGGCCGAACTCAAAATCTCACCCTTCTTCAAACAGCTTTTCCAGAATTGGAAGAAAGGATCAAGGAGGAAGGAACGCAACTTATTGATCTGACTCCTGTTCATACAGCCTTAGAAGCTATTGCTCGCTTTCCGCCGCTGGCGCGCCAATCATTTGGTCTTGGTCTGCCGCTGACACAGCGCTTTGCGTTTCTACTATTGTAGGATATGTTGTGACTCTGACACTTGTCTTCCTCCTTCACAAGCGAGTGAATGCCGTCAAAGAGTCTTTCAACAAGTGCACGTCCGGCGTCCCACGCATGTTCCGACGTGATAAAACTGACCAAGAACCTGAACCTGAACCTGAGAACTCAACAAACCGTCCCTCTGGGCCCCCCTTGGGTGCTTAAGGCAAGTTCAAGTATTAGTCATTCCTCTACCATAGCACGGCGGGATTGTACTGGTTCCCCAAAGCGTCTTAGCAGACGCAGTACGAGTGAAGTATCGATAGGGAACGTACTTGGTTGCTAACGTAACCTCGGTTCCTGAGATACGGAATGAGTACTGCGTACTTTGCCATGCTATGTAGCTGCACGACTCATTCGTCGCTTCAGTCGAAGTAACCTGAGGATCCTACGGCGAAATGCCCGATTATATAGCCAGATGGCCCCGCCCATTCTGGCGGGCTTTGTCGCCATAGACTTGTGCAGCTCTGCTGCCGAGCCATTGGTTCGTTTTTTTATTCACTGCACGAACCAATGCCAAGGCCATGCAGTTACACTGCATTATTGAAAGTGTAAGATCTCCTTTGAACAGAACAGCACATTCCTTAAGCAGAAGCTAAGGAGTCTCCTCTCAACCTCTCAAGTGCGAGTCGTAAAACTGAACCGTGGTCAGCTCAGGCGCCAATTGTCTCAAATAGTTCCTGAGTCGCTCGGCTTATCTTTGCAAGAAACACAAGAAGAGCATTATTTACAAAACCACCTCCTGGGTCTGCAAGCACTGAGACAGCAATAAGTGACCCCTGCATCTGGACTCATTTAAGCAACAGAACTTCAGTGTTGTCTCGTGACTGGCTTCAGCATAAATAAAAATCTAATAAACAACAGAACAAAGAACGTTGTATCTGGAAATGTTCCAGCGACAGACACTCCTGGACCCCATGACCAAGAAAGATAGATTTACAGCTCCATCGTCTGAGCGGGAAGATCAGCAGAACTACACCGCGTGACTTTCTTGACCTCAGGACTGTCCTCCCCTTTTTCCATACATTCCAGAAAGAAGCATGTTTCTCTCGGCAGACAAAGGAACACGCGAACTCACATAGATGATTTCAAAAGACAATCATTTAAAAGTATAAAAGGGCAACTATATTCACAAATAATATGTTTTATGTCTTATATATGCTTGATGTGTTTCCTGTAATCGGTGCAAGTTTAACCAATGTTTTATAACCCCTTTTAGTAGATAAGATTATTAATGTGTATGCAAACTACCCGATATTTGAGCTTGAATGAAAGCTTATTTTATGTGCAAAACTTTGGTATGAATGAGAAGTGGGAAATATGTACGATACTTGCATTAAGAAACTTTATAGAAGTATTAATAAAATCTGGCAAGGATGTTCCCATGTGATAAATTGAAGCATCATGTTAATTTATGCATGAAGAAGAACCTTACGGGGCATCAGCCAATATCGGCAGCCAATATCTGATTGGAATAACGATCTATGGGACGGACTTATGCAGCTGGATCAAAAACCCAATGTCCGAACGGATTCAATGCCTTTACGCCTTTGTGTTAACCGCGCTCCAACTTGCGCTCACACGCTGCACCATCAAGCGATCGGGTCATTCAAAGCTCCAAACACTCTGTGAAACTTCGTGACTGCCGGAGTCTTCAAAGTCTAAAGCCAAGCAGAGAAACTCTGAGAAGACCTTCAAGGCAAGCCTCACTCTCCTTACCCAAGGCAACCGACTTCTGAAGCTCCTATGTTACAAGGCAAACCTTCACTCTCCCCGAGAGCTTCCTCAAAGATGTCATCCAAACGACAGATCTACAACCAATCAGAGGCGCTGGAATTCCACGAGCCGAGCCAACAAGGGAAAAACTCCGCTCAGCTGTCACCAAAAAGCAAGTAAACAAACAAAGCTTTCATCTCTTGCTGAACTGGTGCTGAATTGATTCTAAGCAGTAAAGATAAGACAAATCTCTGCTTTTGTGATTTTCTTGGTGTGATCTAAGAACTAGTAACTTACTCGAATTTTGGGACTTCCTCAGAACTCCATTAAAATCCTCATCCTGTGAACCGTATGTGTGTGTATGTGTGTGTGTATGTGTTTGCATTAGTTTTGTTTAATGTAATCTAGATAGCCAATAAATTCCTGTTTCATTATAAGAATCATTGTCTTGTGTCGTGAATTCAAAGTTAAACCCTGCCCAGATCCGGCTACCTACCCAGACAGCAACATAGTGTTGACCCAGATCCGGCCCACATCTGGCCCCTGTGAAATCCATGCGGGCCAGATGTGGGCCGGATCTGGGCCGAAACTGTCTGCTGTCTGGGGACTTCCGAAGCTCCTACGTCACAAGGCAACCTTCACTCTGCCCGAGGGCTTCCCCAAAGACGTCATCCAAACGACAGATCTACAACCAATCAGAGGCGCTGGAATTCCACGAGCCGAGCCAACAAGGGAAAAACTCCGCTCAGCTGTCACCAAAAAGCAAGTAAACAAACAAAGCTTTCATCTCTTGCTGAACTGGTGCTGAATTGATTCTAAGCAGTAAAGATAAGACAAATCTCTGCTTTTGTGATTTTCTTGGTGCGATCTAAGAACTAGTAATTTACTAGAATTTTGGGACTTCCTCAGAACTCCGTTAAAATCCTCATCCTTTGAACCGTATGTGTGTGTGTATGTGTTTGCATTAGTTTTGTTTAATGTAATCTAGATAGCCAATAAATTCCTGTTTCATTATAAGAATCATTGTCTTGTGTCATGAATTTAAAGTTAAACTCTGCCCAGATCCAGCTACCTAGCTCGTAGCTTATAAATTATCACAAGCATGTATTAACCTTTGGCCAGGGATAGTACACATTTTCAAATTGGTAAGATATACTGATGTTAACGTCTCGCTGGACGAACGGTAGATAAAGTGTAAACTATCAAATTTGGAATCAGTTCAATCAGGTTGATTTTGAATCTTCGGATTCGATTCCCCCTCTGAAAAGAGCGAAATTCCTTACAACGCTATACCAGGGGCGGTTCTAAACCCTTTTTAGGTGGGTTTCAGCCCCCCTATCTGTCACCTTAGCCCCCCAAAAATATCTTAACGATCAGGCTAGTGTTGCTTCCTCAAGAAAGTTTTTCATTCTCACGTGTTTTAAGTCTTGTCAGTTTAAACATTAAAGTAATTTTAAGCCATTTAAGCCCAAGACATCTCAATGCGGTACTCACGCACTGTGATAGAGCGTTTCTATGCGCACCGCTCACACACCTGAAGTGCACAAACAGATAGCCTTCTCAGACAGCAGGTGAATACCAATGGCTGTCTTGACAAATATCCTTGTAAACAGTAAAGAAAACATGAAATATACATCAGCATTTCTAATGTAAACAAAAAGGAAAATTGTTCCCTGTTTATTTGCTTTTATGTTAATGTTAATAAAGTAATTCAGTGCTCACAAATGAAATTAGAAACACTTGGTTGGGGGGGGGAGGCAATATGTGATTTCAACATCATTTGATAAACCATAATACTTTTGCTACAGCAACCATATCATAAAGACACATTTAAAGCAAATTAATTTATCTAATGTTAAGAAGTGAAGGGTCAGGAGCCTAAGTAAAGTAAACACTGGTCTCCACAATGGTAACGTCAAACGAAACAATAAAGCATCATCATCTAAAGGCGAGCTCACACTACAGGAGTTTTAAAATCCTAACCGATTATGAAATCTGGTTGCAGCACACACATAAGGAGAATCTTTGCAGATTATCTTGCCTCAAATCTTAAACATACACACACTACAAGATTTTAACATCGTGGCGCATCAAACACTACAAAATATTATTAAGATTATCATCCAGAGGGAGCACCTCACGTGATCTCACGCAGCATATCATCATTGATATTTCAGTGATGTTTACATATGTTAGCTAGTGTGCTAGCTGCTTTCTACACTCACCCGGTACATTCAAAACTGAGGCGAAATTCACTCCAGTGCTTCTCTTTCTCCTTACAGTTGTGATACGTTTTCGACACATTATACAGACAGTCGTGTCACTATAAAACATCAAGAAGCAGGTTCCTCTGTCTCCGCTATCCAATGGAGCCGTACAGCAGCTGTTTTGCGGTCGCGCATTGGCTATTGTGAAAGTACTGACGTAATCATATAGCCGTCATCATCCCGATTTAAAACCTAAATATCAAACGTGTTTGATATGATCGGGGCAAGTTGGTTGGGTTTGGAGGGGGGTGATGATAGAGCAAGCTGATGCTGAATGAGAGGGGGCTCCGCAAAGTTCGCACGAAATTGAAGACTGAGCTGCGAAAACTCGGCAGTAGAGTTTGGACATTACATTACTTCGCACATTACTAACCAGTTTGAATTTTTGTTTGTCATGCGTCTAAAAATTTCTTATTAAGAATTAACAGAGATTTAGACGTTAATGTTTATTGAAAATAATACAATTTGAAGTCACCGTTGTGGAGATAAGCATTTGCTTTAGTTGGGCTCTTGACCCTTGACTTTTTAACATTAGTTTTTTTCTGGTTGCTGTAATTGTGTTTATGAATGCTTATATTGGCCATTTTTTTGATAATGACATTTTTGTCATGTAGTAGCTAGGATCACTGATGTCACCAGTGGTAATGTATAATAAAGTTCATTACTAATCAAAACTGTATTTTATGAAATAATAGAAAGAGGTTTAAAAACACTTTGCACACCAGTTAAGAACATTTCTGCTGTTTAGACACAGACATCAAGAATCAGCATATGAATCTCAACAATGGTGATGATCATCAGACAGATTCATGCTGCAGTGCATTCTGGGTGCACCAATCATAACTCATCCATGGCTCCCAGCATGCATTGCGACATGAATAAATTATGCAGCTGCATTGTCTTAGTATTTTCTTTTATTTTTACTATTTGCTTTTATTTTTATTTTTTGTTGTGACTTTTTTACTGCCTTGTTTTGTGATGTTCAAAAATCACATAAAAATTATCAGAATGTTTTGGCACCATTGCTGAGATTCACATGCTGATTCTTCATGTCTATGAGTGCCAGAATTAAACACCCTTTATGAACCATATTTATAAAAGTGGCTTATAAAGTTTTCTCACATTGCCACCTCAATTCTATAATAAATGCAATATAGAAATTATAAAAACACTACAGATTTAGATAACATGCAATCAGAGACTCAGATGTATGAAATGATTTTATCACAAGCACCTTGCATCACATATGTGCTTTACAAACACTATTGTAACAGCCAAAAATAAACTTGTGTGCAAGAATTCAAGGGTCAAGAGGCAAATAGTGCAAACACTATTCACCAAAACGGTAAGTTGAAAAAAACAAAAAACATAACCTTAATTCTCAATAAAGAACTTCTGTTTTAGATACTCCAGAAATAAAGTCTAACTGGTTAGTAATGTGTGAAGCTGGTGATGTTGTTTGTGGAGTTGTTTAATTATCTTCTGCTGAGATCTTGAGAAATTTCATGTCTTCTTTTATTTCAGTTGATTTCATCTAAGGCTGTGGCTGAAGTCAGTTGTAGTTCTTGTGTTTCTCTTTTCTTCAGTGATTCTGCTTGTTAACAGCAGGTGTTCATCACTAATGCTCAATCAGCATTTCACATTCACATAATTATCTCATTAACTTTAACTCTGCTTCAGTGGTACTTTAACACTCTTTTAGAGTGGGACCATATATGCTCCGAGCAGTGTTAATTTAACACTCAGGATTTTACTGTGTGGTAGAACCATTAAAAATCCCTAATCCAAACCATTCTTTGCTCAGAAACCTTTCTTCTTGAGATGGCACTATCCAAGACTCCTCAAAACTCTCCTCTTGAGTTTGATTTTCCGGCAGTTTTTATCTTCAAGTAACTTTGTCGATCCTCTGTGGACTTTCCTATCTTCAGAAAAACCAGAGGAAAACCTCCAGCTCACTTCTAAAAGAACTCATCAAGAACCTCCGTTGTCTACCGCATCAGGACTCTTGTTCAACATAACCTTAATTCTCAATAAAGAACTTCTGTTTTAGATACTCCAGAAATAAAGTCTAACTGGTTAGTAATGTGTGAAGCTGGTGATGTTGTTTGTGGAGTTGTTTAATTATCTTCTGCTGAGATCTTGAGAAATTTCATGTCTTCTTTTATTTCAGTTGATTTCATCTAAGGCTGTGGCTGAAGTCAGTTGTAGTTCTTGTGTTTCTCTTTTCTTCAGTGATTCTGCTTGTTAACAGCAGGTGTTCATCACTAATGCTCAATCAGCATTTCACATTCACATAATTATCTCATTAACTTTAACTCTGCTTCAGTGGTACTTTAACACTCTTTTAGAGTGGGACCATATATGCTCCGAGCAGTGTTAATTTAACACTCAGGATTTTACTGTGTGGTAGAACCATTAAAAATCCCTAATCCAAACCATTCTTTGCTCAGAAACCTTTCTTCTTGAGATGGCACTATCCAAGACTCCTCAAAACTCTCCTCTTGAGTTTGATTTTCCGGCAGTTTTTATCTTCAAGTAACTTTGTCGATCCTCTGTGGACTTTCCTATCTTCAGAAAAACCAGAGGAAAACCTCCAGCTCACTTCTAAAAGAACTCATCAAGAACATGCGTTGTCTACCGCATCAGTACTCTTGTTCAGCAACAAAGCCAATGCAAGTAACCATTTACAACAATTTAGATGTGTGTTTAAGTTTGAGCCCCTTTTTAAGGTGATTTTGATTCTTTGATGATTCTCATTAGGTTGTGGTTAATTGATGTGAAGTACTGCCATTCTTTTGCTCTTCTCTCTCTCTTTCTTACTTTCCTTCATTCTGTATATATGTGTTTTGCTTAATTTAGTTGTTAGTATGTTAGCTATAGTTTCATTTATTAAATCCCTTATATTCACAATTGATTGTCTCTGTGTGCTGCTCATAATTCGGGGTCACTGAATGTTGATTCTTGCTACATGCTAAACTACTGCTAGTACGGAGTAGAGCCTCTTGGGGTGCTAGCTGGGGTATCTGGACTGGAGGGATAGTGGCAGGAGTATAGGAAAAAAAATAGAAGACATATTACTGCATACGGCTGAAGGAAGGGTAGAGGAATGGATGATTGGATGAAAGGATGAATGTGGATGGTGATTTTGACTGATTTGTGAACACAGAGACGAGAAGAAAGATGACATGATTTGAGTGAAATCGGTTGAAGCAGCTGTAGGTGTAGTTACGGCTTGTCCCCCGCTAGGGGGAGCTGGCGCTGCTGTCTGGAGCTGCAGTGGAGGGACATGCCGCCTGACGTCACAGGTGATGGAAGGTGGCCGGCTTGTAGATGCCGGAAGTGTTGACAGATGAGCTTGAGTTGATGTAGAAGTTTTGGTGGATTCTAAGTATAGGTGGTTTAGTCTTGCTTTATTATCTGAGCGATTGAAGTGGATGCCTTTACTTTTATGTGTGCGTTGAAGGCGAGCCAACACGAGATGTCATCGTTGGTTCTGTGGGACGCTTGGCGAGATTCCTGCTAACGGGAGTTGTGCGCTGGGGAAGCCGCTGCTTATGAGGAGAGCGAAAAGGCCAGTTTCCGCGTCTGCGGTGGGTATGGCTCTGTTAGAGGATCTTGATGCTGGAGATGAGGGCTCTTGTGATCACGCTGGTGTTGAAGAGTTTCCTTGAAGGGTTTTAGAGCGAGAATGCTCGTGTGGCTGAGGAATGTGTATGGCTGACCGCAAGAGGTGGGACTTTCAAATCACAAGCAAGTCTTCAAGCCATTTCCCAAGTCTTCAAAGAGTTCAAGTTAATGAGATAATTAAGTGACTAATTAAATGATGATTGTGCATTAGTAATGAACTCCTGCTGTTATTGAGAATTACAGAGGATCAAATGTTGATGTTTTATTGGTTAAAATGATGCCACCCTCATGGAGATCAGTGTTCACTTTAGTTGGGCTCTTGACCTTTGACTCCTGTGTTTTATAGTGATGGATGTGCTGTTGTAAAGCAGAGAAGTCAGTGCTATGTAGTGAGCAGCTATTAGCTGTTTTTATGTAATGGGTTAGTCATCATGATCTGATGTGATTACAATCAACTTAACTTTTTATCATTTCAGCTCTGTGAAATTACTGCATGCATATGAATCTCAACAATGGTGACAATCAACAAAATGTTTCATGCTGCAATGCATGCTGGGTAACACCATAGTTAAAATCTCCCATCATGCACTGCAGAATGAAAAATTATTGTCACCACTGTTGAGGATCATATGATAAGTATTCATGTCTAAAAGCCTGAGCTCATATAGGTTTTTCTTTTTTTTTCTCCCAATAACAAAGCATTACGGTGGCATTTGTTTAGTAGCACTTTTTTGTTTTTCACAGTTGAGTAATAGCTGAATGTCACTCAATAAACCAAAGAGAAACCACTTTGTGATGTTCATTCATCATGAGTTATAGGCAGAAAGCGTAAGTTTCAAGGTTTGATTCAGCAATGCACAAATGTTTGTTGTGGAACATTGCAATTGCTTAGAAGCAAATTACTAAGACTTATTAAAGGGTCAAAGAGACTACCTAAAGCAAACCTTTATGGTGGCATTTTGTGTGTGTGTGTGTGTGTGTGTGTGTGTGTGTGTGTGTTTTTTCTCTCTCTCAGTTTCAGTTGATTTCATCCAAGGCTGTGTCTAAAGTCAGTTGTAGTTCTTGTGTTTCTCTTTTCTTCAATTATGTTGATTGTTAACAGCAGGTGTTCATCACTAATGCATAATCATCATTTAATTAGTCACTTAATTATCTCATTAACTTTAACTTTTTGAGGACTTAAGATTTGACTTGAAGACTTGCTTGTGACTTGAAAGTCCCACCTCTGGCTGCTCGGGTTGGTTTGCTGCGAGCTAGTCCTCGGTTGAGAGGAGTTGGTCTCAAACAGATCGTCATCTGCATCGGGTGAGTTAATCTGTATCTCTGAATCCATGGTTGTTCGAGAGAACGAGATGAACAGTGCTGAAGGGGTCAGCCTGACATAGGTACGTTTTGGGAAGTGAGGTGATTGGATGAGGTGGTTGAGTGAGGCATGGCCCTGCTCCCGAACCTCAGTTAACTAGTTAACTCCCTTTATTACTTAATTACATTACACCACTAGTGCTATAAAAAATCTTGTATTGGCTTCATTAACCAAGCTCTCCATAGGAAAAAATAACACATATTATACAGACTCTTTATATTTAATGCTGTTAGATGAGTTGTACATTGCATGTAATAGATTACACTTTCAACCAAACATTTGCCACTGGTTTGCAAAAGGTGTTTACAGGCACGTTTTAGTTGATTTTCAGTTGCTTTTACACCGCTCTGACCAGCAGGTGTCAACAGCGTGCAGTATTTTTGAGTGTATACTTTTGCCAGGCAATTGGTTTAGCTCATTTAAAGGTATTAAAATTTTCATCACAAAGCTAACCCTCAAGGTGCACGGTGCACAAGATTATTTTGGGTTTTGATTTAGTATTTGAAAACAAATACTTTACAGAATCACTGCAAAATATTCAGAATCTCATCAACGTACATTCGTGGCAGCAAAAAAAAACACTTCTAATACAAAGTGTGTCATCACCACTGCAAAAACAATAAAGAACGTTCTTCAACAACAGAGTTTACAACCAAGACCATAGATCCATCTTTGAGTCACTCTCAGAAAAGAGCATCACAGCGGGTTGGAATATAAACAGTTTCAAAAAACATTTCCAACTAAAGAATCTTAACTTGATCTTAACTTTTGACCGCAAGGCAAACATATTTCCATTCTGAAGTGCCACTCCTCTCTGATCGTTTTGCATACTTGACTTCTGTGGGCTTTAATGTTCCCAATCCCCTCAAATTCTAGTCAACCTACGATGTGGAATACCAACCTGCCTACATCGCTCCCTGGGTGATCCTATGTGGTCTACCCGTCAAAGGTAAATGTAGAAAATCTTTTAGAGGAAACACGACGTGCCAATTAACTGATCTCAGATAAATTGTCTTATTTTATCAAGATAAAATATTGTTTGATGTCAACCTCCATCATCATTAAATAACTACAAAAAAAATAAAAAAACAGCATTACCAGCTTCACTTGTTATAAACCAGATTGACTTTATTTTTGTCAGACATTTACAAAAGTTCTTAATGAAATTAACAGAGGTTTAGATGTTTCGGTTTAATTAAATTAATAGTTTGGTTTGAAGTCACCATTACTGTGATCAGTAGTTGGGCAGTTTGACTCAACTTTTAAAGTTTAGTTTTTATTTGGCTGCTGCAACTGTTTGTTATGGCAAAAACAACAAGAGAAAATGTTATCAGACAATGTTGACTAGTTGATGTTAAAGACATTATCACCATGCAGTGATCTGACCAATTGAACTCCCACAGAGTGTAAAAAAATGGCATTAGTTTCATTTTAGTGACTGTAGTAATGCATTTCAACA